AGTCACTGATGATGAAAAAATAAATAAACTAAATAAACTAATATTTAGTTTTGTTTTCTACTGAAGTCACAAAAAAAAGAGCTAATGCCACATATTGTCATATTAGCTCTGGAGCCAACGTGAAAGCTAAAAGGCTTAATCAAAGGTTCCCTTTCCATGAAGCAGCTCTGTTGTCCTCCATCAGTTTCAGTTGTAGTCTGAGTCATTTCTACATTCTGCTCTTTGTCAAGTTGCTCTGGTTTCATTTAAAGCGTTGATCATCAAATATTGTCCAAAATTAATGTTCAAACTGCATAAAGCTAAACTTTGTCATTCAGCCAGAAAGTTTTTCAGTGAAAACAACATGGCACCATCTGAGTGACAGTTAGTTTATATATAATTTAAAAATATAAGAGCCTACAGTGTTTTTAGTCTTGTTTTTATAGCTAAAGTAAATGTTTATTAAATAATGTCTAATGTTACGAGTAGTCCCTTCAAAGCCTATTTATTTACTTTTTTAGCACTCAGCGGTAGTGAAAGAGTAAACTGCTTCTCTAAATTATGGGTTTTTGCTCTCAATAATGGTTCTTTATCCAGAAACGGCCACCCTGGATGACTCAGCGTCACTATTCACTCATTTTTACAGCCTCTTATTTCTCGTAAATAGCCTTCTGCACACTCTCGACGTGAAAAACGGTTCTGAAAAATTACCCGAGGTGACGTTCCCAGAGGTGCTGATTTCACAGCGCTCCTTCTCCTGCTCGATTTCATTCACCACGTCGCACATCTGCACCGATAACACCTGTAAAAGAAAACAAAAAAACTCAAAAAATAAAGTGCAATTGTGGAATCAAGAATGTAATATGGCTCCTTTACAGCGCCGTAATTAGATTATGTGTGGAGAAAGCATTCCCATATTTGTCATACTCTTATAACCCCGGTCTTTTTATGCTCTGCTTTTCTGGTTAGAATGAATCTCAGGCTCATAATTCAGTAAATATGCAGAAATGTTCACTACGTCTGAAAACACAACAAAGCTCCTTCTTGCAAAAGGAAAATAGATGCTGTCATGCAAATGGATTAGGAAGCAGAGAGGGGAGCCACTGAGCAATCCGCTGCGATTGTTCATCTGTGTCAACAAAGGCTGAAAAATGCGGGCTGACAGCCACAGGCCTAGAGACGGTGGGCTAATGAAAATGTGCAAGACGAGCAGCGAAAGCTTGAGAAGGTCAAAGGAGAAGAGCGGGGAAAAAAAGTCAACGTGAAGCGGAGCGTATTCATGAACCCAACTACCATACTGCAGAGTAGAGAAGCAGGGTCATAAAACCAGAGTCCTACAGCACAAAGAACAGAAAACATCCAAGACCAAAGAGCTTAAGACAAAGATCTTAGGTGGTRTTCACACCCGATAGTCCGGTAGACTCGGTTCGATTGGGGACCAAAACTGTAAGCTTTGTTTACATTTTCTGTTGGTGTGGTTTGAATTCACACTGCACTTTCTCA